AGATAAGTAAAATAAATTTTATTATAATAAAAATATATATGGATAGAAGAGAGGCGGCAAATCCTTCGTTTCAAATGAAAATAAACGGGATGGAAGCGCTTGATGAGATAAATTTAAAAATATGTACCGTCTTTTTTACACGGCCAACTAACCCAGCACGAAAAATTTTGCAGTTATAAAATATATGGTCACATATTCATCATGCGTTGTCAAGCCATTGAAAAACAAAATACTAATTTCCTCGTTCGATTTGTAGAAAGCAGCTGAGGTTTTGATTGAAATTAATTACAGCCAAATCATAATTCATTTTCCAATAGAACAATAAACTTTTGCATACGCGTATCTGTGATTGTCGCAGCATTCGACAATGGGGGAATATTATCATATTGGATTTCAAATGAGATGCTTCATTTGAAGCAATGCATTTCATTGCTTGGTAAGACTTTATTCACATTCAACGTGTTGCATGTAGTTAAAAACCTCAATTTCTCCTGTTAATTTACTTCTGAATAGAATAACATGATTCAAGATTCTTTTAACATTTGAAGTGAAAAATAGTTATAAGTCTTAATAATAGTTCATATATAATTACATTTTATGCATTCATAAAAGAAATGAGAGAATAGCTTTTATAGAAGGAAACTGGTTTGTTTCTCGAATGAGGTGCAAAAATCTTACATTTTTTATGAAACTGCCTTTTAAGTGTCAATGAACTTAAACTAAGATTGAAAAAGTTTGTTTTGTAGCAGCTTAAGTGCATAAACTCTGCACATCCCTTCTCAAATGTTGTATTGATTTTGATAAATAACAGTTAATAATTTAAGTCTTTGTGGTGTTATATTGAATTGCTTCAAGATTTCAAAAGTAGGCATTAAAGTAAGAATTCATAAAGAGTATGTGTATTGGACATGAAGTTATATACTCGCACCTCACTTTTGAACCATCCTTGGAATCGTGTGCCCGGAGAAACTAACATTAAAAACCTAAATGACATGTTTTTTTTTTTAAGGACATGCCACCTAGGTTCATTTGTTGGAATGGAACACGAAAGTATCTGTAGATACACTGGAAATTCTTATTAAAACGAGTAAACAACACATTCTCTCCAAATGCACAATTCATTTTGCAACATGCATCCTAACGGTTAAATATTATATTCTTTAGAAATCAAAGTATTCAGTCGAATTGAACAGGAGAAATGACACGTAAAAATACATCATTCGAATCTATTGCATTTTCATACATTTCACATTTATTCACAGTAAAGATATTGTAAAGAAATTCATGTTTCTATCCTCAACAATTACATGATTTGTATGATTAATGAGCTGCAAGCATGCAATTAGGCTACTATTAACAATTCAAATTCTCACAGAAAAAAAGAACACACATGATGAAGTGAGAAAAAAGCGACAGTTAATTTAGAAAATTATTTACACCTACTGTTAAACAATGAAAAATGTTCAGTCACAAATTTTTAGTAACTTTTCGTCTATGGGAAATGATTATTAGTTTATAAAATTTGTTACTTTAGGAGCATAATTACTACCACTACATTAAGTTTGCGTTCATGGTTCTTTAATACACTCAATCCATTGACACACCAAACTTGCAAAAAAAAAAAAACGCGAAAAACCGTACGGATAAAGTACAGAAGGAAAATCATACAAACTGACTATCGTCACAAAATTATGAGGATAAAAAATTCTTACAGATAGCAATAATCTAATCCCAGAAAGTAAGACCATATTCATTGAATAAAGTTCTAGATTCATTTAATCTTTGTTTTTAGGCTTAAGAACAGACAGTACTCAATCCTTAAAGCCTAAATATACAAAAATAACAACAAAAATACATCACTTAAACAGTTTTTCACTTCACTTTCAGATAAAGATGATATTTAAGACAGAACTTGAATAGAATATACCGAATTTGCCGATGCATTTCGAAAAAAGGGGGAACAATTTAACGTCGACTTATATTCAGTGATTATTACAGATCTTATAAAAAAATAATAAAAATTCCGTTTAATGAAATGGCTCCGAAAAAACTGTCAGAGGATTCAACGAAACTGAAAACTTAACAGTCATTAAGATTCCCGCGGAGAGTAAAACCTATCAGCCAATCAAAAATTGAGAAAATATACATGGTCGCCTAAATTCAGCCTCGGAACATTCGAACTATATGTCTTTTGGGGTGGCAACAGTTTAAAAAGAAAACTAACGGCCTGCGAAGCGTTAGAATGTTTCAAAACATTGTAATACAATCATGATAGTATCGTTGCAGAATTTTTGAAAAAAAAAACGGGTTCATAATAAATACTGAAATTTACGAAACATGAGAAAATTCTCGAAAACAAAAATTTTAATACTTATTATTTTCTTTCTTCAGTTGAATAAATTTTAAAAGCTAGAAACAAAACCGTTACCATTTCCAGCTTAAATCGTTATTTAGTTGATCATCTTGAGAAAGGTAGGAGTATCAACCTTAAACAGAGAGTTGAGTTTTGTTCAGTACAGTTTTAATGAAGGATTGATAGTATTATTGTTAGAAATGTTAAATTAACATGGGAGTAACAATAAGCTTTTTTTTGTTAACGAAATTAAAAAAAAAGTAAAGTAAAATTATGAGAGATTTTCCATATCACATTTGTTGAATAATTTCTACCTTCGACATAAAGCGATATCACTGGTATAATTATTAAGAACTATATAATGGATTATTAGAAAACTGGAAGTTCGTTCATGTCACATGCAAATATAGAATATTCATTTTTCAGGAATTCAATTAAAGTAATTCAACATTCAAACCAAGTACGCTAGCTACAAACGATAACATTCAAATGGGGATGTTTCTGAATTAAAAATGCTCCTTCAAAATGACATAAGAATTCAGTTTGGTTAAAAGAAGTGTTAGAATTATGAAGGTGTACTGATCTAAAATGAGATAATACATTAACTTGAGAAAAATTTTAGGAAGACGTATAATGCAATTGAAAGTAAGACAACTGGATAATAGTATACATTTTAGTCATATGTTAACAATACTTGTAGGCTTCAAACACCAGCACTCAGATTGACTTTAATATAAAAAGTGCTAATCTACTTTCACAGTAAAAAAAAACTTTAGAAGCAATTCTAGAAAATTCTTATTTGACAAATCTTTTGATAGCATTTTAATATGTCAAAAAGGCCTTTGGGAAAAATGTCATTTCTAAAGCCGAGAAGGCTACGATTAAGAATATTAAAATAGTTTTTTCATGAAAAAATAACTAAGACTATATAAACCTTTGAGCAATTATCACTGTATATAAAATGAAAAAATATATAGGTATTCAATTGAGTCATCTTATATCTCAAAAATGTATATATTCTACTGCTTACATAGACTTACAAAATACATTACTATTCAGGGCTTCAATAATGCTAAACTTTTGTCATCTTTATGGTATTTACAGAGCAATTTAAGCCTAACCAAAAATGTACAAGAGTATTTAAACGTTCATGTGAAAGAGCTTAAGACACACTCAATCATGTTGGAATAATTTTTACACTGTTATGGCAATTTCAGAAGTAAACAGTTGATAACTAAAGTATGCAACATATGGTATATAACCTTGAATACAAAAATATAACACTCTAATGTGATCTGTTCATTAAAGACTGGAACCAATTGCTTAGCATATAAGTATCACATGAAATTTATGAATAAAAAGAAAAGAAGTGATATCACAACTACTAGATATATAGAGAGTAAGCATATAATTAGAGAGTACAACATTTAAAACATGATTATTTATTATGGTAACTTGGGAAGCAGTTAGTAATCAACAAATATAGTCGAGGTTCATGTACACGTTGGTAACACATGATATGGCTCTACAATAATCCAACTACAGCCTGAGTAAGTGTCGTAGAATGAACTCTATGAAGTATATTGTAATGTATAAGCATGTCTTGTCTCTGAATACACAAATACTCAAAATTATGTACAATATTAATAATAGCGAGCTATGCACAGTCAACAGATGAAGTCCGATATTATGGAAACAGATCACCAGGAGACTGTCTCGAACAAAATAAAAGTCTTCTGAACAGCACATATTATATTAATGGTGAGCATAGCCTAGTTGGACTCTTGAGAATATTTGAATGCAATTGTCTCGACACAGCGTGTTCACACATACAAATCTTTTATGTAGTGTGGATAGTCATTAAGTAGTATAAGCTCATGGTTCTAATACTGATTATGTGCTGGATCATTTCAAACATGATCTCTGGAACACAGGACTGTCTCAAGGCACATATAAAAAAACATTCAAGAAGGTGTGCAGCAGAAACGGGACTGACAAAAATTTAAAAAAAAGAATGTGCGCGGAAGGACAATCTTCAGTCAGAGGATGAGTCTCAAGACTCGCAGTATGTGGTTCCACTACTTTACGCATTACTGCATGACCAGTACCTAGTGTCACAGAGCGATTACGACCACGCATCACACCAAAAGGGTTTACCAAACTAGAGCAGGGGTAAAAAGCTGCGCTCCCAGAAGCTCCGCTCGAACAGCTCTCGGGGGTAGTAACCGTCGGGAGGGATGGCTCGCCCTCAGCTAAAGATAGCCAAGACACAAAAAGGTAAACGCTGTATCGTTGCACTTTAAACCGGATTCTGACTTGAGGCGTTCAGTCATATCCACGGATGAGTAACTTCGCACCACTGGCCGACCAAGCACATGTACGCAAATGTCCGAACCTGCGGTTCCTTCACAGCAGGATTACTATCGCGCGACCCGGTCATCAGTAGGGTAAAACTAACCTGCTCACGACGGTTACCAGCCCACTCCGTTACCTATTAGTGGTGGTGAACAATCAACGCTGGCGAATTTCTGCCAAATGATAGGAAAGCGACATCGGATCAAAGGCGTCGCTTGGCGGAGCTTACGGCCGCCACAACAGTTATCCCTGTGTATCTTTTCTGACACCTCTATAAGCTTCGTAAATCGCAAGTGATCGAATAGGCCTCGCTTTCGCGGTCGTTATTCGTCACGAAAATCAAGATCAACCAGCTTTTGCCCACTTTTACTCGCGGGTTTCTGCCTCGCAGCTCGCACTTAGGACACCTGCGTTACCTTGACAGATGTACGCAGCCCCCGAGTCAAACCTCCAACCTGGACGGCTGTCTTCGGAGCGGTCTCTCCGCCGATTGAGAGCCGAGATTCAGGTCCAGAAATCGGGAACCATCCTACCTCGCTTCACTCGAATCAGTAAAACCGTGGAAAGTAGTGGTATTTCACTGACGGCGCATAACGACCTCCCATATACTACACCCTTCATGTCTCTTCACAGGTCGAGGCTAGAGTCAAGCTCAACAGGGTAAACCAATTACCAAACTACAAAAAAAAAAAAAAAACACAGTAATACTAAAGTCAACTACATAAATATCTCGCAGACAGGCGAAAATCAAAATAATCTCCAATCTTCCGCCCATGACAATCTTCAACCATGGAACCGAATCCGCCGATGGCGAACACACATTTTGGGAAACTTTCGTGGGGGGGTGCCATTTCAACGGATTTTAATACTCAAAAGCATTCAATAGCATTTTCGTAATCGAGGACATTAACCTCGTCAAGAATAAGTCGGTAACCACTTGATTCAAACTTTTAATAGTATTCTTGACATGATACGATATGAATTACTCGAAGAATAGTTGAACGGAGCCACCTATTTTAAATCACATCAAGCTTTTGACATACGATGGACATTAGAAGTCAAATAACATAAAGCTAAAAAGTAACTCAACACACACTTCAAATGGCAACAAAAATGTTGTATAAAAATAAAGTATAATGTAGCATTGAACAAGAAGAAATATCACTTTACCAGATAGCCGAATGATGTGAAAGCATTTGTCACTCGGAAAGAATAAATAGTTAAAAAAAGGCACGAAACGACGCCTCACGATTGCTCATAGAATCAACGTGTCATTACCTGGCAAAACTAATCAAGGCGTAAAAAATACTTTCCAAAAACGTTTTATTATACGGCGGCACCAATTCCAAAAACGCCAACGAAGCAATGGCTGAGCACGGGTCAGCTCACAGTTAACGGTGAGAACCAATCATAGAAAATCAGAACGCGGTCCGATACGATGAAGAATCGCAATCGCCCATTAGCTCAGGATTAATCGTCATCGCTCGTCTCAGAAGTAAACAAAGCGATGACACCAGCGTTTAAGGCAGCATTGCAACGATCGAATTTAATGGCTCCTGCAGCCACCTCCGTAGAAAACGAATAAAATAGCTGTCAGAATGCCAGTACATGTGTAAAATAGTGGCGGAGGCCACTTATCTACATATTTAATAGTATTCCGAGATGCGATGTGTGGGCATGAACTCGTCGTGAATAGGTGGCGAGATAGCCACTTATTCTGCATATTTAGCAACATTGCGACGGTATTAATCCTTGTAAGAATAGGTGGCTTTTACCACCTATTCTGGAGTAAATATTTAATAGTATTTGATATGGTTGACATTAATTCAGTAAGAATAAGAGGCGCAGTTTCATTCTTGTATCATACAGTTATTAAGACATGCGCATGGATCAGTGGCTTTCGCCACTGAACCGTTGCGGATTATGTTTCTTTCATTAGAACATATTATACAAGCACTGATATATAAAGAAGATAGGTGCCGATGAGTTCATTGTAGAAATCGAGGGAGCTGTTATAGCGTCACGAACGAGCGAAGCGAGTGAGTGACGATGATGAAAACCAATACAGCCCCACTGATTTCACCTTGAAAGGAAGAGAGAGCCACCACGGACACGGTGCGGACCATCGACTGAAAATGTAATAAGAGAAAGAAAAGAATAGGCGAAAAAAGAGAAAAATTTCAAAAATTTACCCGCCCTCCGGGCGGGAAAAGAAAGAAAATGTTTTATCGGGGAAACCGCGCCCTCAAACGGCCAAAAAAAATAAAAGCAAAAAAAAAAAAAAAAAAAAGGCTCCAGCATGGTTTAACCATTCTCAGCAGTTAAAAGTTTTCTTTAACACACCCCCAGCGTCAGAAGATTAGCCGGCCGGAGTAAAACTTCTCAGGCAGACCTACCTTCTTAAAAATTACGTTGACAGCAATTGGCAAGCTCACAATATCATCCTAACCAACTTGCTGTACTACTACTTCCTTCACTGGGCCCACAAAGCTGTTTGCAGTAATGAGCTCGAAAAGTTATTCCAATGTCATACATTTAACCAGGAATTAAAACCAATGACAGCAATTAAGAAGATTAGAAATTTTCATAGTTCATGCAAACAGCTTTGTGTTCATAAGACAAAATACAACCGACTGCATGTCCACTAAATAAAAAACATAAACACGAATTTAATATCATTCAAAAGACAAAAAAAGAATTCAAACAAGTGACACATTAACAGGGTGCGTACTCATATTTGTAGAAAAAAGTAAGCACTTTTTAAGTACTTTAAGCACATTCAGGGGAAATATAAGGACTCGAAAAATCTTTCATGACGATGAAAGACATCACACAGACTCAGAACAAAAGAGCTTAACTTCATAAATAATGGAACGTGCCAAACAAAAAAAACCGAGACGTAAAATATATATCATTAATTTAACAATAAAAAAAAAATTGTATACAAGTGATTCACATATTAAAAAGATTGTAGAATTATTACATATAACAAAATTAAGAATGAAAAAAATAAGATGACAAAAAAGCGGAAATACGCATTTCCACGGAAATGTGTCATGTCTGCGATGATCTCCTTTTTTTTTTCTTCTTTTTTTAAACAAACAGGATTTAAGTAAGAGGTATACAGGAGAGAAATTTAGTACCTATCCTACTGTCATAACTATAATATATTCTCATTAACTTGTTACAGGAAAACATTTCTACATGCAGACAAATAAACAAAAAATGCTTATGCAACAAGATTTTCACACACAAAAAAAAAATGCTAAATCAATAACTTCAATTGCTTTTCAACATAAAATACTTCTTCCTCCGTAAACTCATAACATCTTCTTAAAAATTATGAGTTTTTAAGCACCATGATAAAAAAAAAACGGCACTTTAAAAATAAATTGGAATAAAAAGTAAGCACTTTTAACAGATTTCAAAAACAAAAATTAAAAATAAGCAGTTTTTAAGCACTTTTCATGAATGTACGCACCCTGATTAAGAATTTAAAGTAAAGAAACATCAAATCTGTGGACAATGCAAAAGATTGTATTCTATTGGCTACAAATTAAAATTCAATATCAGCACGTACCTTGATGTCCAAAGTGCCAGCTAAGGCAAAAAATATCAAACAACTAACACTGTCCAATATATACCTAAATAAACTGAAATAAAATCAATTTCAAACATGCATGGTTTTATTGGATCAACTAAACATGTTACTGGAATGCAACAACAATCTATTTCATGAAATTGAATAAGCTTGTAAGCACTAATTCCATTCAGAACATTCAATATTACAGCTTACAAAAGTTCAAAATGACTCACAGTTAATGGAACAAGACAAATTTTCAGTGTTCAAAATCACATATCAATTCGTTCTACAACTCAACTTCAAGGATAACACTACAAATAGGTATACAACATTCAGCAATTATTTCAATTTTCAGTTTTAACTTAAATTAATCAGATAATTTTTTTAAATTTTCATGATTTAAAAACTATCATTTTTAATTAAAACTGGAGGTCTATTTAAACATAACATATAATTTAAAATAACAAAAAAACAAAAAAATATTCAAATCGTTTCTAAAACATGAGACAAACAATCACTCTTTGGAAGAATGACGACTTTCAATATTTTTTTTTTTAACAGCAGACACATTAAGTTCAAAATAACTCTTCCCCTCTTCAAGAATAACTATGAAATTCAAAATAGAAGAAGTCAAACATCTCAATTTAATTTCACATCATTTTCTAATCTTGATTATCAACTGAATTACAGAAAATGATTCAATCATCACACAAAAAGTTTCATTCCATTAAAAAAAACATTAGATATTAATTGCACACAATCAAATAAACACACAAAACATCAATATTTTTATTTCAAAAACAAAGGAAAACAATTTTTTATTACCTTCCAAATGATCAAATCAAAGAAAAAATAAAAAGAGAAATATTCCAAACCAAAACAAAATATGGAAGAATATAAACACCTTGAAAAATGAATTAAAAAAATAATGTCATATAAAATAATTCTAATAATTTACTTCAATATCAGAATAATAAAAACTACAACGTAAGGAAGAATAAAAAATGTTAACCTGGAAAAAACATAAAAATGAAAATGAAACCAAAAAAAAAAAAAAATTTCTTATTCAACTGCATAATCAACTTAAAGCATTGATAATATAATACCACAGATCTGTCAACGATAAGACGTCACCAACAATAAAACTCGCGCCATAGCACTGCGAGACGTTAAACGGGATTATTTCATTGTCACCTAAATTTCAGTCATTTTAAATATAAGAGTAATTGTCGTTCTAAATTAAAATTTAATAGCTCTAAAATAGTGAAATAAAATTTATATCCCTAGGATCAATAGTTCCCAAGAAATTTTAAATTATATTACTTATATATTTGAAATTAATTTCCGCTTTTTCATAGAAAGTAGTAATTCACATCAGTGGGATATCATGCGCGTGATAAACTTCGGATACCACGATTCATCTGATTATTTATTGCAATCATGTTGATATAATTTGATAATATTTTTTGGCAACGTTCAAATTTATACAAATACATCTGCAGTACAACGAAAATTGTTAAACAATGAAAAAACTTCACATGGAATGCTGTTCACCAATACGTTTTTTAGATGAAGAGGCAATTAACATCCGTCATGGTATTACAGGTGACTTTTTAGTACTAAAATATTTTTTTAAATAATAAACCAAATGAAATTAAAGTAAACTAAGTTTAATACAAACCAGATTATCAGATAACCGTAAAAAAAAGAAATAATAATAACATTTCATTTTTTTCAGACAGTTGCACAGTAAAGGATTAAATAGTGACACAAAAATTTAATTCAAACATGCTGACATTTGTTTATAATGCCTGTACAAAAAAAAAATGAGGAACATTATAATCGTAGACAAACACGAGTTCATAACAGATTTAACGGAGGAGCTCAAAATTCCGAAATATCGCAACAACATTTACCATTGTCAAAAACATTAGTCAACAAACAAGCAAATATATATAAATATCTCAATGATTTCGTCGTTCCAGTCATAAAACAGCCGAGTTGATAACCAATTTCATTTATTATCAAAATATTTTGAAGACTGACGGACATACAAACATCTTAGTTAAAGTTTTCAGA